ATCTTTTATGAGTCGCTTTTATGAGGATGGATCGCTCGCGAAACTTTGCGAATCCGCCGATCGCGTACGAAGCTCACTTCTAAATGCCGAACTCGTGAAAAACTGTGGCGCGAGGTCATCGGCCGTTATATCCGTTCTAACTGGCGCGTACGCGAGAAACGATGAGAAATATCCGCCGATACGGCTCCGAAACTTTCGGAGCGACGTTTTCTATCGGTCCTGCAATAAAATATCATCGAAATGAAAGTAGCTTCTCGGACAGAAATTCGCGTTCGAATGTACCACATGGTAGAGGTGACAAGTCAACCACTAATACGAGAAAACGGCAAGGAGGAGAAAATACGAGGAGAGGCGAGAAGTCGAAATGCGATTTGCGGAAGTTGGAGATGGAAGTTTTCCCTTCCGACTCGTTAATCCGTCCGCCCCGACGTCAGCTCTTCGCAGTTTACATCAGTTTTTCAACAAAAATATGACACTCACGTAATGGGTTTGTCGAAATTTATCTAACTTTTCGAATGCATTAGGAAATTACACACTCATTGTCGAAACAATCGCGAAAAAGCCATTTTGCCTTGCGACTTTCTTCTGCGACGCAAAATTTGTGTTCAACTTGCGCCTTTCGAAGTCAGCTACTGCGTGTTTCTAAATATTTAACTTACCTGCAATCTCGGGCATTTCACTGGTGCTTCGCAAGACGACCGTCGATATTACCTCGCGGTAGGATACCTTCAAGATTCCGCAGCGGGGGTGAATTCGTCGAACCGAGCAAAGTGAACCGTGTATGTGCATCACGTCGATTATCCTGACGTTCCTGTGACAGAAGACGTCTTCCACAGACACTTGATAAATATCGGATCGATCTTAAAGTTGAGCATGTAAACAACTAATTACATAAGAGACATATATGACTGAAACGTTATCATATTAAACTTCTCAAATGACAATAATTGATTGACAGTATTTGCAAGTCGCATCAAGACTGTATTCTCTAGAATCAAATTTTATGCCAAATTGGATCGTATCCATTTTTTCACTGTCTATAAGTCTGATGCATAATTGTATGAATAATAATTACTGACAACAATTAGACAGATAATAATTAGAAATGAAAATGTACTTTGTTTTACAAGCGCTAATATTTCAGACCTTCATATAATTTGTCATTGTTGGTCTTACCTCAAATTAGCTGCGGTCAAATTCTGCCGCAACCACGATGTACGATTATTGCCGAGCTTCCGAAATGCAGGTCGCTTTGATTCAATTAGCTCTGGAGAGTCAATCGATGCTGGATTTCCTCTCGAAGTCGAGAGCATCTCTTACTGAATCGAGGCGAAGATTGTTTGCGTTGCACCGCGAATTGTGGGAAATGAACTACGGAGAGAAACAAAAATACGTTACATATCTTCCGATTTCCATGTAGTCGCAAGTTCTGCTAAATAATAAATCAACGAAAAGTTTCCATATCAGTTAAGTCTGTATATTGGAAAATAAGCCACCATTAGTATCTTATCTTGAACTAATATTAACACACTCTGAGACGTCGCGCCTCGCTGTGGCTGTTAGCGGTTAAAAATCGCGACGCTTCGATGCACTCGGCGAAATCGCCACCTCACGAAGTACGCTTTCGAAACGAAAATTCTGGCTACCCATAGCCACAAAGATTGGGGCAACTATCGCGACCATCCGAGGATAGTCACGCCCCGAATAAAAGGGAGCAACCAATGGGACGAGTCTAGGTAGAGGGTCGTACGCGAAATTAAAATATCCTTCCCACGTAATGACGCGGGAGATACGCCGGTAACGACGCACGTGAGTCTGCAGGACAAGGGCTAGGGGTCCTGATCTGGGTCGTTCCCTTCAGCAGAAAGGGTGGTCCCTACCTTCCTCGACCCCTCGGCCGAAGGGTTTCGCGAAGTACCCCTCGGAATCGCGGATCTGACGGACATATGCTCGAAGCAAGGGAGAGAGAGAAGCGTTATTGTATTATTCACGACTCTGGACCCCGTAAGATAACGTTACCATGATTTTTAATACGACGACGCAATTCCGGAGGGGAGGATACGGGGTGTGTGCGCCCTTGCGCGTACGCGCCTCGGTAATGGGATTAGTCGTGTTGTCAGAGGTTTAAAATCGCGGCTATGTTTTTTCAACTCCGTCTAAGCGAGCTAAATAATAAGGTATATTATCGGCCAATATCGAGACGCTCGTCTTCCGGATTAGCGCGAGATCGCTATTGTAAATTGATTCTTGAAAATTACAAATTTAATGTACTACATATGTACGGGCGTATATGTACATTGATAAATAATAAAATTCTAATAATAATGGAAATATACTTTCTCATACGAGAGATACAAAAATACGAATCTTGAGACAAAATGTCGAGATAAAATTTTACTTTGGATAGTACGTAAAAATGAGATATTACCCAGATAGCACACGGACATCCACTGGACGTCCGTTATATGTCCATTTTTTTACAAAAGACGTCCATAGGACGTACGTTTGCCACAACTTCGGACGTCTATCGGACATGAACGTCCGATGGACGTACATCGGACGTCCTACAGGTCCGACGTCCAAATAAGGACATCCTTGTTACGTCAAATTTATGTCCACGGACGTAAATCGGACATACGGACATAAATTGGACGTGAAACGTACATCCATTGGATGTCCGGTGCTATCTGGGTAGTTAATCTCCTGACGAATCAAGTCCGTGACTATTAACACTCCAACAATAACACAGTCATCATCCGTCAAATATCCGGAACTATAAAGTTCCATTAGACGCGTGACATTTTGTCCCGCGTCTTTTGATCGCGGGAAGAGTAATTCTATTGTATTAGTGTTTCATCATCGTATCAAATTGTGCGCTGGCAAACCGCTCGTCCCTAATCACGAGACGATCATCGTACCGCTGTCTCCCCCACCGCGTAACAATAAACGCGTCGTCGCGCGCAATTAATTTTCGAGCGCATCGACAGGTGCAACTGGCGCGGAGTCGTTCGCACGAGGACGCGCTCTTGCAATGACGCGGCCGAAACCGCCAGCTCCGATCGTGAAAGTGGATATTCGAAACGGCGTTTCACGTCGAACATCAATTTTCCGCTCTATGAGCTCGGCAAAGTCGGCAGCAGCTAATCCAAAAATTAGTCGTGTGTGCGAAAGTCAACAGGCGTGTAACCCACTCTTAAGGTTATCGCTGATCTTCCTATGTTCGCCGATGGACTGTTGCATCGCAATGGCGGGGGAATCTCAATACAAATACCTTACATGGGTTCAATGCATATGCATCTACTACTCAAATTACAGATGCATATGCCTGTGTGTCTATGAATAACGATTAGGTCTGTCTTCGTGGGAGTCGACGTGGCACGTGTGTGAGTCATGGAATATTATTTGTAATATTATCGAACGGCGAGTATAAACTTTGCGACATCGTATTTTTATTCACTTCTCAAATCGGCATATCTCAAAAGGAATAAAATTCAAGCGGACTTCCCGCTCCCACGTCTTCCTAAATTTGGTCTTAATGTATTTTTGAAGATCCCGCTGTGCCGCTCAATTTAATTTGCGACTCCTAACGACACTTCTTTCTCGGCTAAAGTACGGCTATTAATGACGCTTCGCTCAACTGAAAATAGACACCTACGTCCTTAAACGACTCTTTTTCTGCTAGCTCGTCTAATGTATATATTTACCCACGTTCCTTGTAACTTCTGAATTTAGAAACTCTGAGTTTGTTACGTTCTTCTACGTTCTATTCTTTTCAAAAGTAATATTCTTTTCAAAAGTGAATTAATACCGGGGATGGAAGTGGCTTCCGCGCAATTTCGCATAATGATCATATTAAAGTGTCATCGCAAAGTATCTACCGTGATACGGCCTGCAGTAAGCGTGCAAAATGTTTTATAACGATATCCTTCGGTCAACTCGGTCCATCAGAATATCCGGCAAATCTCGTATTCCGCAGTATTCTCTCGTATTCTCCCTCGCCACTTTTCTCTCGTTATCCTCGCACCGGCGGTTTTTATTTCTGCCTGGCTACGGGGTCTGTGCACTCGAAAATGCGACCTCGCATAGCCGAAAGAAGATAGAGGGTAGTAGAGAAAATAGGCGAGAGATAAGATGAGAAAATGTGTCTCAGTTTCTAAGGCGGATCCGAAATTTGATTTGAGCCTGCCGAGCTGCTGAATATCGACCCGCGGCGAGGAACGAGCTTACGTTTCGCCCCTCGCAGAAATACCGGGAAGAATCCCCGGTGTAAACCGACGCCCGCTATCGGCATAATCTCGCTCCTATAAAAATGATCCACCTACGCAACAGACGCCAGCGATGGATACGAATTCGTCCCGAGGAAATTTATGTCTCCGCAGTTCCTCCCGATTTTGCAGATTATTCGTGAGTCAAATTTGGATTAACGACATCGTTTGACCTCACTATTTTATTCATAGATTCCCCGCAGCTCATTTAAGCGTAGTTTTATGTGATTATCTCGTAGCTCACAACCATTTTTACCAAATATTAAATCTACCGCATTATATAAGATCTTTTTGATTCTCGAGGAAGAAGGATTCTTTGAGTGTATAAAATAAGAAATGAATTTCTGTAACCACCGCTGCTCTACCCTGTTTTCGTCGATTTAAATCATACTTTGGGCTTCATCGTTTGTGCTCCGAAATAACGACGAGGCGGGGTAGGGGGTGGCAAGGGAGTCGATAATAATAGAAAGATGGGTAAAGAGGCCGTATAAAATTTCCGGCGATATTAGCCACCCGTCGAATTAGCGCTGCGAGAAAATGCCCTACTCACTGTCGTTCCCCGGGGAGAGCAGTTGGGGTAAACCCCGAAAGGGGCACCCTCTCGTAGAAGGGCGGGGCACAGTACAAAGGGGCCCGGGATTAAAAACCCACCCCTGGGTGGAGTTTTCCTAGTGTATATATATAGCTTCCTGACCTCGAGTTTTCAGAACATGATGAACCACCATGTAGTGAGGACGTGCGAGCCGTGTGTTTGATTTGATGTTTCCTGTAACATTGTACAGAGTATTCAAGAGGTTATATATATATACGTACGCGCGAATTGTACAGCAACGCGATATATACGAGAGTAGTATCAAAGTAATTGAATTCAAAGTGGTGCGCACACACGGATTGAAATTGACTACCCCGAGCGAAAGAGAAAATGCGGAGAAGCCATTCTGAGAGAAGGCGACAAAGAGGCTGAAGAAGATAAGTATTCCTTCTCTCCAGGGAAAGAAGACAAATTCCGTCGCATTAAATTCAAAGCTGGGATCGAACGTAAAGTTGAGTGCAACGAGGGAGCTTCAATGAATTTGGAATTGTCTCCCTGTGTCGCGCGTGTGAAACCTGAGACTGGAATCTCGACGTAACTCCGGCAGTTGCGTCGACCTGCCAGAGCATCCTTCGTCGCAAAGGATGTCCCGAAGTTTCTTCGTGGATTCCTTGATTGGCAACAACTCCTCGCCTTCGTATCCCCTGCCGTATTATGGCAACCAGCTGCCTAATTACATGTTCAATTTCTTCAATTTGGGCTTGAACTATCAACCGATCAGACCGATACCCAGACCACCCACTGTGCCGGTGCACATCAGCCCGCCAGCGCTGAACGTTTTGCCGATACCTGGACAGGCCCCTCCATCGCCTCTGAACACCTCGGCCAATAATGTATCAGGTAAATAGACCCACTTATTGATTCACGGATTATGGCATAGGCGTAATGAATAGACAATATTTGTCGAGTCATCGGCTCGCGTAAAAAAATAATGTTTCTCAATCACGACTCAGATATTTTCGGATCGACGACAAATATGTAAAAAAAGATACATGAAGATATAAAATTAAAAAATATTCAACGGATTGTGCGATATTAAATTAACCAATAAAGAGTACATTGTCACCGCTAAATCAGACTGTACGATATGCTCGATCCGAGGATAAAGGGAATTGAAAAGCGTTATCAAGGCCTCCTGTATCGCGTAGAACAGAGCTTGAAGTTGAGCTTACCCGTCGCGACAACGATCTCGCGGGGACGCCATTAACCTCTGACCTTTTGCAGAGGTTCCAGCGCCCAACGAATCCCCATCTCGCAGCAGTACGCCGACACCACCGCCGAAATCCCCGGCCTCCATCAACAACAGCTCGAAGCGCATCCGTACCGCATTCACCAGCACTCAACTGCTGCAATTGGAACGTGAATTCTCCTCCAATATGTACCTGTCGCGGCTGCGTCGTATCGAGATCGCGACCAATCTCCAGCTGTCGGAGAAGCAAGTGAAGATCTGGTTTCAGAATCGCCGAGTGAAGTACAAGAAGGAGGATCTTCCATCCGGACAGAGCCAAAAATGTTGTTGTCTGAGAACCTGCGGCAAACGAAAGGACGACTGCGGCGAAGGTTCACCCGGCAGGAAGTGCGAACGGGAGAAGGAGGAGAAGGAATCCTCCAAGCAGAGCAGTGAGAACAGTGAGGGCAGCGATAGCAAAGCCACTCGCGAATCCACCGAGATCGAACGTCTCGAACGATCGATCGTACACGAAGACACCCGTTGTGAAGGGATCGCCAACTTTAGGAAGATAAACGACACGCAGGATCAAGTCGGCGACTACGAGGCGCGAGATTTCTCTCGGGGATGTAAGAGGAGCATGGAGGAGAAGACCGACGAAAGAGGTGACAAGAAAAGGATGGATATGACGGTGACTTATGAAACTCCGAAACCGTGGACGATCGCGAATCCAATTTTAAGAAGTAAAGGATGCATAAAGCACACGGTGGAACGAATCGTAAACTCGTAGATCCGGCAGAACTGTGCATAAAAACTTATTACATTATATAATTACTACCGCTACTATCGCTGACCGTTAAATGTAATTTTATATGATCATGTTTAATTTATTAACTTATTGATTTCAGCTCGATTGTATAATTTCAATTCATTTATTGATTTCGATTATATTTTGGAACTAATTGAAGCTGGCTCTCATACATCCTTCATTTTGTTGCGATTGAATGATTGGAATTAATAATTTGATAAATTATACAAATAAAATATTTGTACCGCTGTCGTATAAGTATATAATGAGATTATTGAATGTATAACTGTGTCTCTGTCAAAAAATACTCGCTACCCAAAACGTTGTAAGCGTGCGAGAAAAAGAGAAAATATACTGACATTTTGTAAATATTGTAAATACATCTTTACACGTTTTTTATACGTTTTATATGCAAAAAAGAAATAAAACTTGTATATTTTTAATATAAACTGCGGCAAATTAAAATTCATTTTCTATCTTGTCAATATGTCTTTATTATCTTATACCTTGCGTGGCTGTTTGAGAAATATATTACTGAGGAAATAATATTCTTGGCAAATACGCCGAAGATATAATAATATTGAAATATCATAAAAAGCGCGGAAATATAAAAAATAATTTTATTCACAACCTGATAAATTCCCGCTACAATAATATCAGGCGAACAAATACGTGCACAGAACTACATAAAGCTATATTTCAAATATTAAATTACTCTAATTAAATTTATTAATTTTTTTCTCACTAAAATATTAATGCAACTTTTATTTACTTCAAGATAAAGAAATACGCTACAAAAATACAATTTTAAGAATGTATTTCTTTGGTCGTTAGAGCTAGAAAAGATAAAGACTATGACATAATAATTTTTCTAATATCAATAAAACTGATAAATTCAGTCTAACGTAATTTTTTCTCGTTTTGTACAAATATTATTTCAAAGAGATCCATGATCTCTGGTATGAGCACCAGAGATATATAATACTTTGTATTATACGATCAATATACGTAACAGTATACGATCAATAAACGACCAGTGTCGATAAGTAGACCAGTGTTGAAAAGTAGAAAGCTACAAATGTCTATTGGAACATAGTTTTTGATAGACGAAATCACGTATATCGCATCAAGTGTTCGTCGTAAAAAGAAGAATCCCCGACACATGTCACCACCTCGGAAGATGCCACGACGAGCTCCTGTGCGCGATTTTTCCAGCCAAACGATCGGCCAGAAAGAGTACAACTCAACAGGAGCACAACGCGGTCACTCCAAGGGCCCGTCCCTATTGTCGGCAGGAATCCGCTCGTGTGATGCCGTGAATTGTGTAAATTTGTCAGAAGGGCCCCCACTTTAGGTTAAATTTAAGGTAAAACGTAGTTAATGGTGTTAAGGAGTCACGCTACAAAATGTGCCAAGCTCTCTCTCTCTCTCTCTCTCTCTCTCTCTCTCTTTCTGTCACGCGCGCGCGCTCTCCAAGTCCCGGGCTCAGATCGACAATGGGACACTTGTATCGTTATTCGCGGGGCCCGACGGGAGGGCCCCGCAAACGTGAAAACCGGCCGGCTGCCCTTTTTCCGGGCCTGAACGCGACAACGCCGCGCCCATTCACGGTAGCCGAGAAGTCCCCGAGATCGCGCTGACTCGATTCATTCATCCGCCCGGAGAATCGACGATACGGAGCTGCAAGAGGAGGAGGAGGAGGAGGAGACCGATTGCCGGTTGAATGACGACGATAGACCCGGACGAAAAGTCGAAATCGAAAACTCGCGTTTTCACAATCCACCTTTTCTATCCTTCGTCCTGCACGCCGACGCACACAACAGCGGGCCGGTGCTTTTGACGATCTCTCCGAAATGAATCTTAGAAACGTTTAGGGAACACCAAGCCGGGCCGGCAATTTCTCGCCTCTTGAAGACTGTTAGCGAGCGCATTCGGTTACGGCGATGTAACTCTAAAGCCTGAATAAGCGTACAAGTGATGTATGGAGTGGCTCTTTCAGACTCCGAAGACTTTGACGAAAATTGTATCATCTGAGACGAGAGGTTGCTTTAAAGCGACGGCGCTTTTAATCAATTGCGAAAATTCCACGCAGAATGGTGTGCACAACGATGGATTAGGAAATAATATATTCCCCGTGTGTAATGCCGGATCAAGTAAATATACAACAGTAATCGAGTTTGTACTTTTGAGAATCAAGTTCAAGCGGAAGCCAAATGTCTCAAGCGGAGAATTCCCGTTATATTCTTTCTTTTTTTCCAGAATTACGCGACGTTATTTTCGCACGATGAAACTTTCACCGCGTTTACGTCTGCATTTAGTGGCTGCCATTAGGAGAGGTCCAACGAGGACAACGTCCGTCTCACGTTTTATTCGATGGACAGTGTTTCGGTGATTCATGGTATCAGGCTTAAATGACCTGCCTGCGCAATGTCCAACGTTGCAATTCAATTTTCCGGACCCTCGCGTGCTCATGTCTCGTCACGCGGCGGATTCAATCCGATCACCGGCAGCGCGAATGATATGTAGATGCCGCGCCTTTGTGCGCCCATTTGGCACTCACGTGTGTTGCCAGTTGATCCCACCTGCCAAAAGTCGCTGTACTCCGCGTCGCGGAGTCCAGCCGACCGCGCTAACGAGAAATTGCTCGGATAATTAAGCACGTTCCGCCTTCGTGCCGAAGAGAAACTTATAATGAGCAGAGCTGCCAGCCGGAAAACAGCGGCGTATTAAGCATTATTTAGTTTACTTTGCCAAATTGTATCAGGTCAGCTAGCATCGATAACAACTAGCATCGAGAAACATCCTTACATGCGATGCGCGTTACGCAGCCAGCTTGACCGTTCATTTGTAATAACTCATAATTGAGTTGATTCCGTGTATTCGTAATGAGAAAGTAGGTGGAGAGTAACGTATACCTTCGATCTCTCCTTTAAACGTATAGAAATAGACGTCCATTACAAAAACATGATTTTGTCTTTAAAATCTTGGAGAAAATAACTTTGAGAGAAATCATGTTCCCATCATCATAATTGCCCCCTTCAATAGTGCGACTTTTTCTTCAGACATGTTTTTGTACTATCAAATACAACAGAAATATTTCAGGATCATTGAGATATACGAAACACTCTGTATATACTCACAAAGCTATAAAAAGAAATATTTTTTATAAATGATATATCACGTATTGCGGAGCATCTCTTTGTATTATACATCGCGTTTTCATAACTCGATTTACGACATACTCTTCCATCTCATCAAACTACTCAGCTGGGAGAGCTGCAAAACAGGATAATATTGTAAAACTGGAACCTGAATATTTTTCCGTCGTGTTGCATCTTGTACATATACGATGGAGCCGTCGTTGATTTGAATCCCGTCCAGGTGACCATGTTCTGTAACGATACCGCGACGACATTTCTAACCCCCAGCAGCAATTCGCGGCTGCAACCGTTTCTATTCAACTACGATGCTGACAGATCGCCGTGGTATGCCGGATCGCCGAAGAGGGGTCTTTGAGTGGTTCTAATGAGTTCGAACGAACTCGCGATGCACTCTCCACAGGAACTCGTGAGAGAAGACCGCAACGGTTCGTGCGACTCGAAATCGAGGGAAAGAGAGGTGATGATAAAGTACGAAGGCCGAAAAAAGACAAAGACAGCAGAGAGAGGAGAGGAACGAAATAGAAGAGAGAGGAGAGAGAGAGAGAGAGAGAGAGAGAGAGAGAGAGAGAGAGAGAGAGAGAGAGAGAGGGAAAGAGGGAGGGTGACGGAGCTGTTGTTGGCTGCCGATTTCTGGTTCCTGTGCGCTAATTCATTTCATCTTATGCGCACTGGAGTGGCGCTCCATCAAAGCTGGAAAAAGCCACCGCGACAGCACTCCATGCGCGAAAGGGCGACGGATGGCGAGACAGGGTGGTGGTGCGGGCACTCGAAAGTTGAAACCGTTCTTGCCTCTTTACATCCAGCCGGAGGACAATGGCGACGGCGATGTCGACCATTGTGGATTTCGTTTTCGTGACACGGTTCCAAGTAACACTCGCGGCCTCGAGCCGATCGATTGATAGCGACAGGCACAGATGCGACCATGCGAATTTTGACAGTAACGAATTCTGGAGAAATGGAATATGCAAGCTGGGAAGAAATTTTCCATTAGATCCGCAAAAATGCAAATAAGTTTCACGACTCGGACGAAAGAAAGAAGAGAATGGGGAAGAAACTACGGCTTTACCGTCGACAGGAGGAGAAAATTAAAGTTCCAAGATTCACGAAGCAACAGTTTCCCAAAAATAGCAGCGCTATTTTGACTCTTTGTCTCTCTCTCTCTCTCTCCAGCAACTGGCATATTTTAGTGACGTGCGAGCGGTTTTGCGCAGAAGTGTCAGTATTGGAAGTTTGGAAATATTTCCTACGGAAACAAACTCCAATACTTCAACGTTGAAATAACTGTCCGGCCATGTTCGAGCATACGAAATTTAACGGGGCGATAAATTCGTTCGGCACGATAAATTTGTCCGGGCGACGTGCCGTGCCGCGCCGATGTCGTTGACTCTGCACAAAGCGCGAAACTTTCGAGAACGTTCGTAAACCTTGCGAGACGACGGGAGCACCTCATTGTGACACGGGTGCATTGTGTAACGATATCGCAGGAATGCATCGTGCACAGCGTCGTGACGTCGTCGGCGGCCACCGCCGCCGCCGTGTATGTACGCTCAATGACGCGAGAATAATTTCGCAGCGACGTCCGCAAACACGACGATCCTCTCTCACCCAGGTTTTCATTGTCGCGAGTCCTATTCGCGCCAGCGAAAGGCACGTCGGCGATGAAGATCGATTCACTGCGGCGGTCGGAGGTCGTTTAATGATTGAGGAGGAAGAGGAAGAGGAAGACGAAGAGGATGAAAGAGAGAGAGAGAAAGAGAGAGAGAGAGAGAGAGAGAGAGAGAGAGAGAGAGAGAGATGCAGGCGTTCCGAGAAATAAATGTTAGACGTTGAAAGCGATTCAATGCACGATGCACACCGGAGGAATAAGATAAAATAATAAAAGCAGTAAGAGACATTATAGATTTACCACACGGCTTGTGCATCATGATCGAAACAGCTTAAATATTAATTTTGCACGAGAACATTTTGCGCTCTAGGAGATAAAATTTTGACATCATCTACTGAACATAATTATTTTTTGTATAAAAGATATTTGCTCTTTATATAAAGCAGAGAATAAATACGTATCAGTTTTTGAGAGAGTCAGCATGACGAAGATACCGGAAGATTACAAGTTCACCTGCCTTCTCGAAAGTCTCCTAAAAGTGGGGAAGGTATCTTTTTCGCTTGAAATTTAGTAACAGCCGCTAAGGGTGCCCCCGGTAGCAGTAATTTAAGGGAGAAACAATAAAGATAGGGTTTCACCGAGTCATTACATCATCATTAAGCGTGGCAGGTGGCGTATCACCCACACACGCGGTCCCGCACCTCTTCCTGTGTGATCTTTGCATTAAACCGTGAAATACACACGTTAAACGCACCTGTGTCCCAAGCGTGTCCGTCTAATGCGAGCCGGCAACTTTCAGGAAATTGCCTTTGGGACCAGTTTAACTTAACCGAAAACCTGCCAGAGCGTGCCGTAATAATCGATCGATCGTTATATACCTGTTTCTGCACGATGAACGGAAAAATTTCTTCGTCGCGAGGTACCATATTCAGACGAAAGAGTTACACTCGCCTATTTTTGTAGCTTGCTTCTAACAACTTTGGTTGCTGGTGAGAAATAAAGTTTTGTGACCAGGTATTTTCTTTGTCAAAAACAATTTACTCCGTGGTCGATTATACTAGACAAGATTATTTTTATGATCTTCAAGCATTTCACACGCTGAAAGCTTGAAATAGCTACTTCATTTTTGTGAATAATTTCATGCAGTGATGAGAAATCTAAATTCCTATTTTCTTTTTTGTAATGTACAAGAGTGCGACGAGAGAGAGAGAGAGAGAGAGAGAGAGAGAGAGAGAGATCGCGGATTTATTTTTGTACTCTAAGTTTAGACGCAAGATTAAGTTCACAGTTTTAGCTTCGCAGACTTTCAAAAGGGAACGCGCGAATGCGATAAACTAAAAAGTAGATGCATAAATCTCGTATTCATGCTACACGAAGAATGATAAGAACTACTATATACGCATTTGACCTGCATGACACGCATTACGCGCTATCGCGCATGCAAAGCGCAGATATTATCTGAACAAAGATTTGCTTCATATTTTATTTTCAAGTGCTTATCTTACTTTCACGTCACGTACGGTTGGTTCATCAGTTCAAATGATATGTAGCACACAAATGCATCAGCATATTCAAACGTATTTAATTTAAATATTATACGTTCTGCTGCAATTCTAAGGGAGCACATCGAAGCGTAGTAGTGTAGTACAAATTATATTGGTATCGACGAAAGAAAAATAATGCGGCAAAGGGTAAAAATAAGGGCTCAGCCGGGATTTGAACCCGGGACCTCTCGCACCCAAAGCGAGAATCATACCTCTAGACCACTGAGCCACTCCCTCGAAGAAAAGTTTATAACATATTATCGCGTAATGAGCAGTTAACTTCATAAACATCTATATAAAAACGTATATAAAATTTCTTTAATTTTTTCTTTAACAGTCAATATCTCCACATGGAAATTTATTAATGCAAGTGTAAAAGCAGCCCGTCCTGAAGTTCGGATGACTTTCAAAATACACGTAAAACAGAGGTAAGAAAAAAATATATCAAACCTTTATTCGTAAATTTATTTTATTTTGACATTGAAGAAATAGTGATTAGAAATTGTCTTTTTATACCATATTGTCGTGGAGATATGACTGTTATTAACGAAAATAGCATATTTATACACCGCTATATTTATTAGCAACGCGTTATAAGAACAAATTAACAAATTGCCGCATTAAGAGAAGAAAAGGATACTCTCTCTTCAGTCATAAGTTACACCGCGGACGCCAAGCTCGACCGCCAGTTGTTGGTCGCGGCATTTATCATAATTAGCAGCATAAAATGGCCGCTTAATTTGGGGAGGCAACCTTCCCTTCTTCCTCTTTTTTTCTCTCTCTCTCTCTCTCTCTCTCTCTCTCTCTCTCCCCTTCATTGCCGCCTTTTCTCCACGAGAAAAAAAAAGAAAGATAACACCTTCGTTTACCAGTAACAAAAAACACGGTCGTTGTACCTTTGTTTCGCCGCGGTTAACGCGCTCGTAACGTGTCGTCACCCTTCCCGGGCGCAAAAACGCTCGGTGGAAACGCGACGAGAACCCTCGGACGTCGAAGGGTCGGAAAAGATTTGTGACCGCGCTGGGCGATCCGTGCTGGGTGTACCGAAATCGAAGGGATGGAGAATCACAATCCCCATCGACGTGCGGTCGGACAGTTGATTTCAAATGGACTCACCAAAAGCGGAGATCGAAACAGCGCGATTATATACGAACGATGCCGGCGTTATCGAGCCTCGGACAATCTTACGACCTATTGACTGACAACTTTGGAAACACGTGTATCTCCGCGGTATAAATAATTCCGCAGGTGCTACACAGAGCGACTGTGCTCGGAGTAACGTCTCGAGGGAGCATAACACAACGCGATAAAGGCCGCGAAGAAGCGTCCAACGGGGAGATCTTCCCGTCCTATTTAAGCCTTCCGACGTTATTTATAAGCGTCCTTGCACAGCGAAATACAACGAGAGCAGACTCTCCCCGTTTTCCTTTGAATAAATATTTTTCCCAAAACCAACTTCTCTCAGAGCGAGAGTCGCGTGGATAACCACGTGTCACCACGGTCTTTCGTTTCGACAGACGTAAGACCTGCGACTCAAGGGTGGTTCCCGGTGCACTGACATAGTAATTTCGCGCTCGGCGAACGATACAGGAGCATAGGATGCACGGGAAGTTTGTTTGAGGAGGGTTAATTAGGCTGGCAGGTATTAATTAGGCTGGTTTACGCGTTGCTTCGATGCGCAGCGTTCTCTCCCCCGAAATATCCGAATCCACGCTCCGGCATTCCCGACGAGTATCCACAGCGAGATAATCTTCGTGCCTCCGTCGGTCCTCGTATCCTCGTGATCTCCGAATCCGCTGACGTCGATCGCGTCCCTCGTTCCGCGCCTTTTAACGTCACTTTAACGCGCCGCGATACCGATCTGCCAGCCGAGACCATCCCCGCCGACGACGACGACGACGACTGCGACGACGAGCCGTCGTCGAAACGTCTATCGGCCGTTCGCGAGTAACGACGTGGACTGCGGCGACTTGGACGCCGCAGTCCACGTCGCCGCAGGGTCTGCGTGAAAAAAATGCCTCGGTGTGCGGCGTTTCTGCCGAGTCAGCGCGCTAATCCTTATTTAACCCCGGAATTTATCAGTCTGATCGAGCCGCGCGGGATTAACTTAACCGCGCGCACCCAACAATGGGGCGCACGAGGAGACACCACTTAACGGCGGAGCTCCACCCTCGATCGTCCAGCCGTCCGTTGTCTTCTATCTCGATGCTAAGAACGATGGAAATCGCGCCGCCGAGAGTTGTCAGTGCTTTTGTACCTGGACCACGCCGCTCTCGACGGAGAGGGCTTTTTTGTAATGGAAATCGAGTGAGGAATTCGGGCTTGATTTACGGATCGAACGCTACGGCACCAACCCGCTGCATCGTGATCGGCTATCGACACCCGACGCCATTCAATCCGCGGAAACGGCATCCCGGCATCTGGCTAAATTAAAACGTCGGTCTTACTCGGATGTCTCCTCTCGCCCTTCAATCTCGGAATCTACGTCCGGACTGTGCGCGCCTAACTTATATACTTCTTGCGGTTGTTGGTGCCGACGAACGAAAAGCGTTTTTGCACAACTACGCCCGTGTAATACGGCGAATCGACCGGGATTCCGACGACGAAGCGGAATTTTCAGCTTGAAAATTTAATGCGGCCTGGAAACTTCGCGAAGTCTTATTTCCAGGAGTTCCTTGCGGTAAAATATGCTCGCGGTAGATTGTTCTTGTATTGTAACAGAGGATTGTATTATTCTCTCTCGTGTTCTTTTATTTCGCGATATCACTTTTGAGGCGCACCAAGCGCTGCAATAATCAACTTCTTTGTTTCTCTCTCTCTCTCTCTCTCTCTCTCTCTCATTACTCGGGCCCTTTCAATCGTTTAACCAGCAACGGGCGCGCGCAAAAGTTAATTCGGAAATTTCCCCGTGCAGTTTCCACCCTCCCCTCCCCTGTCGGTTCTGCCAATAGACGAAACGAATCGCCCTGTGGAATGGACGTGAGTCCACAATGACGCGAGATCCGCAGCAAGTTGTGATTTCCATTACCCGATTTGCATCGACTCAAAAGATACGACGAATACAATTAACGCCGATAATTGCCGTCGTTCCGGCTTAATCAAACGGCTCGTGCGCACTTCCGGGCGCAGCGGAACGTATCGACCAGCCGACCGACGTGTGTGCTGAGTAACTTACGGTTTCGAACGTGGGACGTTTAATGAGAAATTTGCATAACATTACGGTCGGACCCCTCAGCGACGGATTAATGCGCGCGCGACTTTCGACATAATAGCGCGGCAATGAGCGTCCCGGGGCCCGATTCTCTAACCGGTCGTAAAAAATCGCGGCCACTTATGTCTATGCTAATTTTATCTGCCGGCGAGACCAATCGTGCCACTAAATCAGAATGTCGGCTCACGAAACGGCAAGCTGGAAAGTAATTGCGAGGCATTTTGAATGATTTCAACGTGTATTATCATAACGGCCAGAGCTATCTTATCAGTCCTGTGAATGCAAATTAATGAGATTTCGCGCAGTGAATTAGCATATTTATGAATATATCGAGAGATCTGCCGTCTTTCTCTTCGGTTCACAGTCTCGCAAGCGCTCGCTTATCTTCGTTTTCGCGTCGCGCGCGCGAGACTGTACGGTAGGAAAATTGAATTGACGTGCCTCTTCCGCGCGTAGATATGCATAAAAGCATTTCGCGTTCGTTAAAGCGCGGCCCTACTACTCCACGCAGCCGAATATGGCTTTAATTAGTGCGCGAGGCGTAACGAAATTAATTTCACAAAGCCGCGATATTCATCGAGACTGGTTGGTAATTAATTTTAATTATTCGCAAAATCATACCATCGCCACGTCGAAATAATCGGATTTTTTGTAACATCTCTTATTTTGCTGGGCTGGCAATTAATTATGTGATGCGAGCTTCATTCGATGCGCTTCCGACGCGCAAGCGATGAGCAACGCAACTGTTGCAACTAACGCGGCGTGCAATTTTAACACGTGCAACATCTCGCTCGCGTATATCAAATGCTACCGCCATATTTCGTCTTGGGTATCAGTAACCAACACTTTTATGCGAAAACTACGACTTTCAGCCTTCGATATATCACGTACCACTTAAGAGTGGCCGCCGGTATTTTTAGACAAATGTGTCTGACACTTACGTTACGATTGATGCATGTATCTTTCGCACGCGAAGCTCTTGATACCGATCGCGTATATTTCGCGCGCCCACAATCATGGCTCTCTTATCAACGGTGAACGATCACACCTTTATTAAAAGGTCTGCTGTCCCGGCATGCCGTCACATTGATCACGCGTTACGGTCAGATAATGTCGCGATCGGCGCTTCATGATCCAACATAAAGGACAGGATCGCACTTCGATCCGAGAGGACTCGAGGGAATCTCACCGCAAGTTTCTTCGACTAATTATATATGCCTCGACAAACTCGACAACATGAAAGCCCTTCATAGAGAGCCCCAGTATAATATTACATTAAAACATCTAAAGAAGCGGATGAAGGGGCCGATTCTCTCACTCCTAAATCACTCCGCGCCTCCTCTATGTTTGCTCTAAAGCGAACGTTCCCTTTGTAAAAGAGTGCATTGCGCCTCTCAAACTCGAGCAAAAGAGGCGTGCTTAATTAATGAGCCCCTTCTGAGTCGCATTGTTTGTCATATTGCGCGCCTCTGTAGGAGCCACCGCGGACCCTGTTTACAGTTCGATTCCCGACGACGATTCGGCCTGGCAAGTGAACCGTTAAAGCCGCGTCGAGTGCTCTTCCATTCGCCTCTACTCGCTGAGTAGATCAAGTGCACCTGGTTATACATCGACTCGACTTCCTATGACCTCTAATAAGATCGTTAAATTTGTGTGTCGAGGTACTATGCGCAAAAGAACTCGCCGGCAACCGCAAAAGTGCCATGTTAATATCGTTAAATATTCTCTGACGAAATTTCTTGGACGTACGCGAAAAGTTTAAAGATTTATGAAAATTAGATAGATATATATATATATATATATATATGTATTTTCTTCCTTGTTAAATCGATATTAATTTTATTCGGGAAGAAGAGAAAGAAAGAAAGAAAAAGAGTGAGAGGGGTAAAGTTCGATTTTTCATGGAAATTTTACTTTCTCTGATATTTTTAAGCTTTATGGATTTTGTTCGTACAGTTTATACGTAACATTAATTTAATATCAATATTACTTCTTCCGAAACATGAAAATGTTTGTAT